AAATTTAATTTAAAAACCTAAAGAAAATACATGGTTTTAACTTTTTTTTTGTTGATTCCCGGGAATATTCCCGTTCCCGGACATCATTCCCGTTTCCGTTCCCGATTCCCGAAATCTTACGGGAACGGGAATTCTGGAACCCCTAATTTATACATGTTTTACTTTTTACATTGATTAGTGATACATTTCATATCACTATGGGTGAATCTTCAAATCTAGGTTTTGATTAAATTCAGGCTCTCGTTTCAATCTTCTGTGGTCGTGACGTGATACATTTTAGGTCCGTTCTGACAATATTCCATTATAAGGTAATCTTGTAGCTCTCGTTCCTATTTCTCCCGCTACACTTCAAGTTCCTGATCCGTTCCTTAATCCAACGTTGCCCAAAATGCCCAATTATGGCTTGATCTCGTACATTAAGCAGTCGAAGTATCTAAACTTCTGAAAAAGAACAAATTTATAAATGGCTGGATTTGAACCGACGACCTTCGAGTTACCATACCAAATTTGAGCCAAGCGCCTTACCTATTCGATCAGCAAGGCACTCAACTGCTTTAGAGAAAAAAAGAGTCTACTTAGTAGAAGTACAAATAATTTGAATCAGCAACTTTCTTAATTTCCAAAAAAAATTCCAAGAAATAAATCTTGAGAAAAAGTCGAAGTACGGGATCAAATCTCGAGCATAGCTTGCAAAAAGCTCTTTCCATTCACATCCTCGCAAACTTCATTGCTGCTTTTATATTGCATGATCATATCGTAAAATATAAAATACACTTGAAATGCTGGAAAAAAAAGGTTATGGTGAACAGAAACAATAAAAAAATTGCAAGTAAAAATGTCACTGTAACATGATTTATAACATTTACTGAAAAAAAAATTGTTTTAAAATAGAATGAGTCATCAACAGCTGTTCACATAACATATCATCGCCAGAGATATTTGTACCATTCTAACTTACCGAAATGAGCGAAAATATCTCTCAACATTTTTCATCATCATCATCTCCTATAAAACTCTATCCTTTTTTATTATTTTACTTTTCAATTTCCTTTTCTCTCCCAAATAAAATAAAGCTCAATGATGAAAAGAGCAATTGATAGGACAGGCAGGGGCAAGGTAACAAATTATTGAAAGATTGAGAGGTTTGAAAAAGAAATATTTGTTGAAGAACATTTTTCAATAAGAAAGACTGAGTAGGAGGAAATTGAAAAAAGGTAATGGACCTTTGCTACTCACTTGTTCCTGCTTCTTTTCCTCACTTGTCAATACGTGTCTGTAACATTTACTTGGATGGAAATTTCGACTCAATAAATATCTTTGAAATTGTGAATAAATATGGAGAATTTTTTGGTATTTTCTAGGAATTAATTTTGGAAAATTTTAGCATGTATCAGAGTAAATATAAAAATAATATTTTTTAGGCAGAAATAACATTCGTATTTACTTAAAGCAGTATGATTTATAATAATTTTAATTTTAAATCAATTGCGTAAGCAGCAGATTCTTTGAAATAAATATTTTACCATGAAAATATTAAAAAAATTACAGAAGTCCTCGTGTTATTGATCGAGGGACTTAAGCGCATTTTTGTGTTAGCGATTAGTATTTGATTACTAATTATTAATCTGTTGCAAAGAATTTCCATACAGAAAAGGTTTATCATTTAACGGTTTCTTGAAATTCAAATTTTACAACGGCTGGAAAAAATGAAATTATAAAGGTAATGTTGAATCTGATACGAACAATTCATGTTCGACAGACTTATCGAAAGTCTAGGGGAGTTATAATATGTACGTTCGAAAAGTTTAAATTTGAAAAAAACCGTTACAATTTTAATGATTTTATTGGAGTTTTTGATTGTTTTAAAAAAGAAAAAGCTATATTATGCTTATAATTAACGACCACACAAAAGCTTCATCTAGATTTCATACAAAACTTGTTTAATTTAAGTTTTTATTTTTTTGTAAATTTCGAAAATTTCGAACTGCAGGGTATGAAACTTCGAATTTTGATTGGCAGACAGACAAATAAGACATTTTCACAAGTTTTCTTGGAAACTGTAACGGTCGAAACTCTTGAATTGTTCGTATCAGTGTTGAATTTATAGAGGTAAAATAAAATTCATTAATTATAGAATAAATACACTGTTTCAAGACTTTTAAGCATTCGATGGGCCAATAAATCAATAGTAACGGAGATAATAAAACAAACGCGAGCTCTCTACGATGTCTAATTAAAAAGATTTTCTTCGCCCGAGCAGCCGAACAGCCGAACAAAGTGTATTATTAAGCTATCTTTTAGAAACAAGTTTCAAAAATGCGCTAAAAATGTCAAAATTTCTCATGTCAAATGAAGGAAAAAATTGCACACCTTAAAGCAGTGTTGCACAAACTGTGTGCCGTAGAAAATTTTTGAAAATGAAACGAGCTGCATTCTGTGTACGACTTTGGTCATGACTTACCTTTAAGGTGTGACGTGGCTCAAAAAGTTTGAACAACTGCCTTAAAGCAATGAAGTCAAGATAATAATGCAAAATTATTTAACATTTCAAAGAACTTCCTTCATCTTCATATCCAATGAAAGATACAAAAAGTCGAAAATATTTTCATTTTCATTTAAACATTTTTAATGAAATTCTTTGGAAACAATTTCAATTACAGATTATCTTACATAAGGTTACATATAGTATGCAAAATTTTCAATTTTCTCTCAGAGATTTTTGAAATTATCAAAGAAACTTTCATAATCATAAGCATTTTAATGTGATAAGATGTAAAACTTTTCAGTGACACGCAATCAGCATGCACCAAAAAAAATTGTATAATTTTAAATATCAGTTTTCATACAACAGCAATATGATGTAAAAATCACACAAAAGTTTGCTCGTGTTTGTTACATGAAGTAAGCAGTTTTCATGTATGTATATATAAAAGTGTGATGTTGACAAGCTCTCGACATTTCAAAACGACATGAAAATTTTCATAAAAGTTTATTAAAAGCACCGTTCTTATAAAAACCTGATCTCTATTATATATCCATCCAAACACACACAGCAAACAGTCACAAGTTTCAATTTACACAAAAAAAAATTGCTAAAGTTGATTTTTTACATCCGTAATGATGACGATGAGATGGAGGAAAGCATCATTCGAATCAAAAATATAATTTTCCATTTCTATCTCTAATAGCTTTAATATACACAAACGGAGAGGTGGGAAAATGGAAAACCGAGAATTTGTTGAAAAAAGTTTCAATCGCAATCATGCCATCGCACTACAGGTAGAAGCGTAGATACGAAACGAACAGCAGAATTCATTAGAACTTAAACTCATAAGCATGAATATAATTTTCTCTATGAAGGTAAGATGCCAACCAAAACCCAAGACGCTAGTTGAATAGAACGGCTGATGTGATTTTGAATGAAGCGCATCTAGTTATGTATCTAAGAACACAATGTTGAATAGGAATGACTTTTTGGACTAGAGACTGGAACAACCAAAACGATATTAATTTTGACCTCGAGCCAAGGGTGTGAAATTGATATAAATTGATCAAAAATAATCAAAAATTGATCAAAAATGATCAAAAATAATAAAAATATAATTTATCAGTTCCACACCCTTGCCTCGAACTTGTGATTTGTCAAAAACTAAAACATCAAGAATCCTTATTTATGATCGAAAAAGCCAACGATTCTTAGTAAGAAATTCAACCTTACCAGGTGTGCTACCAAATAGAATATGACAATCAGACTGACAAATTGCAGACAATAACATCTAATTCCAATGGGAAAATGCGATAAAATGAAGAGAAAACAAATATTTTCACTTCCAAAGAGTTAAACGACTTAACCGCTATCTTCTATGAACAAACTATAGACGTTTCAAAGGAGTAGCAAAGATTAAGTAATTTAAATTTTTAAGTAGCTCTTGTCAGGTTCATCTCATTGTGTAAATGCAAATTTTCTTGTTTTTTCTTCCTTCGCCTTTTCACTCGTTGGTTATACATAGTTAAGGACGAGAATGAGAGAGGTGAAAATGTTATGAAGTACATCGACCGTTTTATAGTTGTTTTTAAAAGGAACAACAAGAGAGAGAAAGGAAAAAAGTTATAGCGTAAATATTTGATAATGCATAAAGGATTTTTTCTTTATTTTGCATGAACAAGTCGAGTTTAGAGATTGTAAAAATACAAGAAATGCTTTCCATTTATGATGTTTAAGAATGAATGAATAGAATGAATATAAAATTGTGTAGAAGATGTGAAATGATGCACAAATAATAAACTTTAGACATCCCTAACTCTTTTATTTGACTTATAATAGAAGAACATATGCTTGGTACTAAAATAATGTCAGAAAATTCATTTTTATTTAAATCTTGGAAATTCAGTGATGCCAAAAACATTTATTGGTTGTAAAAAATTGGAATTGGACGTTCTTAAGTTACGTCACTAACTTCAAGAACCAACAATCTTAGTGTCAATAAATTTTCCAAAATCATTCAGTAAATTTCAATTTTACCAGCAAACATCAAGAAATCTTTCTAAAATTTTTGAAGAATTCCATTTAAAAGTTTCTTCGATACACAAAGCTTCTTTGCAGACTGTTTTAAGACAAAACAAAATTTTGTGCATCAAACTTTTTCATTAACGTTTACAAAATTTCATGTATGCTTTCGATTCTTCTTCTTCTATCTGCATGTATGACTGAGAACAAAATGAAGACGTGCCAAAAATGAAGTTCGAAAGCTTATTCAAGGAAGTTCAATAAAAGTCTTCCATGGCAATACTTGAACAATAAAAAGAAGAGATAAAAATGCTCCCATTGTTTATAAATTTTAATTAAATTTACTGGAAACTATCAATGAATAGAATTGTTTAAAGTTTTCAATTTCTGCAACTCTATCGAAGCACTGTCGGTCCACATTGTTGCATGCATACGAAAATCTAGTCAAATCATAGAAGTATCGTATCAGAAAATTCAATTAAAAACTTTATTATCTTTAACAATGAATGGAGAAAATTTCAAACATTTTACAAAGAGCATCATTGAAAAGCAGTTGAAGGAAGTTGATGATCAATTATTTAGAATTTAATAGGATGGTACACTTCAACGATAATTAACATTGATTGGCAAAAAAGTGGTTTGAAAATTTCAATTATTTTTAATTAATTGAATCAAAGTTATCGAAGTTTTGGAAACTATACCTGAATATTAAAGTTGTAATGCACAAGTCTTCATATTTAGATCGATAGTATGAGTCTTACAGAGTTGGTGTCAAAAAATTTATTAATCAACATGAAACTGCTGAATCACATCTGCACATATTTCCATTGCACACACACTGCTGCTCACATGAGCACAGTTCAGAACACTCTTTTGGAGTAAAAGGACAGTCTTGAGGCTCATTGCATTGACAATTTTCATGACAGAAGCATCTCAAGTTACTCTGAATGCAATCACAATTTTCTTGACATCCACATCTTGCACTACATTGAAGAATGTTGAATGGACATTGAGTATTTTTATTGCAGATACAACTATTTTCATCTATGCATTCACATCGTTCAGGACAACCATTGGTTCCTCCACATTGTGAATCTGCTAAGCATTGAGCTTTCGTTATAAAGCATGAGATGTTTGGATCGCATTGACAAACTCCATTTATACATCGCCATTGTTGGCTGCATGGACACGTATGTGGAAGATTCTCACAAGGAACTGGACAACCAGGTGGAACTGTTGGTGGTATAAACCTTGTTGTTGTTGCTAAAGTAGTTGTTGGTGTGTCCTGAAATTTTAAAAATATTTCTTGCAAACTTATGACCAAATAGGTAAAATGATCTCGTTTATTGCCAATTCTAATATTTCACTTACCCCACCACAAGTTGTTATATCACATACAAGAGGATTATCAACACATCTCTGTTCACATCTATCAAAATGTGGTTCAGTTGCTCTACAAGTAAGAATTATTCCCGTGTTGCTATCACAAAGAAAAAATTGATTGCATGTTGGTCCTGGAAGTCGAATTCCATTAGGTTGACCCTGAAACATAAGATTTATATTTTAATAAATTATTTTATTTTGGTGAAATATGTCAATTTAATTAAAATCACGCAGTATTTAATTTGGCTTACCATGCATTCATTAATCGGGGATATATCTAAGGTTCTTGGAAAATCCTAATAGAATATTGATTAAAATATATTTAAATAAAGAACTAATTAAGTTTAAAATTAGATAAAATAAAGTACATTAAATCTAATAAGAAGCATAACAGGCAAACTTACATCAGATCCATAAACAAAATAAAACAATAATGACAACAAAAATTTAGTCTTCATTTTTCGATTGAACTTAAAACTGATGCACTTCTTTTTTCGATAAAAAATAATTTCGACTTACATCACAAATAATTTTTGTACAAACTTTTATACTATTTTTTATCGCACAAAATCATCTGATAAAGCATACAGCCAAGTCAAAGAAAAGATAATTTTTTTTTCAATCGGAAACAGACCTTGAAGTTTGATTAAACGGTGCAAAAAAAATCTATATCGTGGAATTATAGAAAATTAATTTACTTCCCGTCATTTAATTCTAACAAGTGGATAAGATTGTATGTAATTATTAGGAAGCAAAAGTGCCTTGATAGTTCAGTTGGCAAGGTATAGGTCACAAAAGTTGGTATTGAAATTTAAATCCCGGGTTCAAATCCCACCATCAGCCTAGTGATTTTTCAGAATTTAAGATACTTCGGCTTCTTCAGGTGCAGCAGTTTAAGACGTAAAACTAAGAATTAGGCGATGTGAGGTGTAGGAATGGGTCAAGAATTATGAAGACAGAATAAAAAAGATACGAGATCCGTAAATTCACCTACTAGAACGGACCTGAAGACATTGTGACCTACTGAAAATTAAAACGAGAGCCGACATGAACACTAGTCCTAAGATCCAAAAAACAGTTTTTAATTGGCTGCTGGACACACAACTGTTTATTGAAGATAATGCGCTACACACTGAGCTAGCCTACATAATATAGATTTAAGAATTATTAATATTAAGAATAAAATTATAGCGCTTAAAGGTGAAATGATCACAAAATGATCAAAATTGATCAAAAATTATCGAAACGTAATTTATCAGTTCCACACCCGTGATATGAACCTAACGACCAGTGTCCTGATCTGACTTCAAGTTCATGCTTCAAAATATGTATTTTTATATGTTTACACCTTTTTCATAACCTTCAATGAAAAACTAATGTCATATGATATTTTCACAAGTTGAAGCTAATATTCAATTCCTACACAAATCTTCAACTTTTTTAATCGAAACCAAAACTAAAGCTTATGATTTCATGTTTGTTATTTTCATCATCATATTTCTATTCACAGAAATTTATTCACGGAAAGATGTAGAAGAACACAATGTATAGAAAACTAGTAAATAATCTTGATATGTTTACCGAAATTCTGAAGTCAAACAAAGTTGAAAAGTTTTCTGATGAATGATATTATAGGAAAGGGGTCGTTCACAAATGATGTTTATCAGAAAAAAGGATTTTAGACCTCCTATGTGATCACGAATCGCCTTATAGTCCTAAAATATATCACAACCCCTTAAAAGTTAATATCATTTATAAACGTCCCTAAAATATATTTGCTCTTTCGTCGAAAGAAAAACTTTCACCATAATTACCATAAAAACATTTCTTACTTAAAATAAATGAAAAATTGATGAGACTACAACAAAATTCTAGCTCAAAATTTCTTTAATTATTCATTGAAGTTCATGTTTTAAACATAAGCTACTTTCTACAAAATTTTTTCTTCATCATTACAACATTTTGAGTTTCTCATTTAAGCGAGCTACGTGAAACAAGGCCTAGAACTCTTTCTCTGACATTTAATGAAAAAGACATATTTGAGAATAACTTGACTTGTCGTAATGCTAACTTCAAAACCAATATCACATAAATTTAAATGTTCAATTCTACAAAGTTGATCCGAAAGGTTTAAACTTCTTCAGAAAATAATATATTAGGAAAGTACAGACGCCAAAGGCATACACATATTTGGAAATGTTTTATTGGCAGACTTTTGTTTGTCTACTTGGAATTTTTGAAAAAATAAATAAAATGATTGATCGAAAATTGAAATAAAATAAGCTTAAGTTGTTCAAAAATTGAAATCTATAATTGTAAGTGTTCCATGCGTTTAAATGCTTCTAGTAGATAGTTCGAGACCTAAGTACTCGAATCTTTGAAAGTCTGAAGCTAAAGAATGCAAAATAAAAGATGTTTAAAAACAATTCAATTGTTATTGTTTATCCAAAAATAACACAAAATTAAAGCGATTTCAATAAAATGAAAAGGTAAAGTTATCCACTATCTAAAATTACTTTTAATATCAAAGTATATCTAATTGAAAATAATGTTTTTTTCTAAAAATATCATAAAAGAATCTCCAATGTACACGAAATACAACAAATAATCAGGTCTTCTTATATCTAAGTGCTGGTAAAGATTTAACCAAAAATAAATGAGAAAAAAAAATATCTTTTTGTTTTCTGTTACGCTTGACTAGAGTTTGATGAAAAATGAAAATCCCATTTTATGACTCAGAAAACAATAAAAAGGCTTTTCTCATCGTTTTATCTACCGTTTCTCTGTTATTGCTTATGCTATCATCCAAGAAATTTTTTCAGTTTTTTTTGTACATTATTTTTTATTAAATTTTCATGTTTAATAGAAATTGAAAATAAAACATTAAGGTAAGAATCGTTGGATATTGACTATGAGATGTTGACGGAAAATTCGATTTTAAGATAAGTATGAGGAAGCGAAAACTGTGATATGGAAGTGATTCCTGCAAAATTGATATTGGATTATGTGATTAAGTCAGATTGGAAACACGATTTTTTTTTTAAAAAATAATAAAAAGATCTGAAAAATTGAGAAAAAATTGTCAAAAACCTCTAATCCACCTCGTTCCCCTAAATAAAATCCTGAATCTCCCAATGTTGGTTATCATGATCTATACATCTCAATACCCAAATGCACCCCTCCCCCCTCCCCCTTCCTCTAATTTGAAAAAATCGAATCAATTGAACCTGTGCTGGAGATCATAGCTCCCAAAAAACATGCTGATGACGATGCTTTGAAAGTATGCAAACAAAAAAATTATTCAGGGCATGACCAATATTCTTTTAATTTTCCAGCATTATGTCATAATCCACTCAAGAAAATTGAGTGCAAAAAAAATCAATATAAAATATCAATGTATTTAAAATCCCATTCATAATTTCAGCAAGAGACTCCAAACACACCCGGATAACAAAAAGCTTAAATGAAAGCATTGATGATTGCTTCCACATAATGTGAATCCGCATCAACATAAAATCTTACCTATAAATTTTTCTTTTTCATTTTATTATTTTAAAAAAGAGCGATAAAAAATCGCAAACATATTTTTTCTCTCTTTTATAATATGATTTACGAACTCATCGAGGCGTAAGCAAGAGATTTAAATCTTTATTAAATTTTTTGACTCCACAAATCTTCCACCATACTGGAAACATTTACAGTCTTTATGCTTCTGTCGACATTCATGAATTGTCCTCTTATTATTATTCTTTCTCATCCATTCCATCTGATATTTTTCCTTGCGTAGGAAATAATTTTTCCTGCCTTTTCCATTAAAAATTTACATCAGATTTGCAATTTTAGAGGTAACGTAAGGATGGAAAAAAAATGTCTGCAATGTTTCCTTCTTGACACGCCCATTTAAAAATTTAATTTTTCCATTTAATGCAGTCATATTGCAGACATGGCTTTACTTACGATTATCGCACATTCTCTCACTTGTGAAATTCCCAAATCAAATTAATCAAGCTGATGGCAATAATCTTGTCAGTTTATTTACTAATTCAATAAATTGCTTCTTGTTTTCTTATATTAAACTAGCTCAACTATCCGAAAACGGCTATTATTATTATTGAGGCTGTATACATACACAAAATAATGGGTCAGTTACAACACATTTATCTTACGGTATATAGAGAATTAAAGTTGGCAAAACGCAATAAAATTTTCCAAGATGTATAAAGAGTTTCGAGTGATAATCATGAAATGTAGCTTTATTGTAATTTGGGTGCCATTTTGGGAATTATTCTATAGCTTTTGTACGTAATGCCTTGCATTTTCATGTGTCTATATACCAAACAAAAGGAAAAGTTATGAATGAGAAACTTTATTAAAGTTGTTCAAGTGGTTGTGCAGCAGTTTGGTACCTTTTTATTTTTGGGTACTGAAGAGGGTGATCTTGAACTGAGTATCAACTTTCCCAGCTTTAAACTAAACTCTATTGCTGATAGACAACTTAATTCACGTAATTCATGTTCGACCCCACAATATACAAGCATATCATGTATAATAAATCCTTTTATCTTGTGTTGAGGAAAAGTTATGTGTACATTGAAGAAAACTTAATAACTCTTTCATGATAACCAATTTCATTCAATTATAGTTGTTTTACTTGTACTTCATTTGTAAAATAACTATTATGAGTTATTTTGTAACCATTGTATGTTCATTGAATGGTCATCAAATTCATATAACATGATAACTTTTGTAAAACAATAGCAATTATTATGAATCTGAATTAAATTGAAGTGTCTTTAACATTAACGCCTTATGAATAAATATATTTTCTAGGAAATGAGATGATTTTAGTTTAATTGGATGGGTGTTATATTTAATAATGTTGTTAGTTGACTAATAAGTTATGCTTGGAATCGTTCATTTATGACTTATCGAGACATGTGTTGCTTGGAATGCTGTAACTCACACCCCTTCCCCTCCCGTCCCTAATTCGGTATTCAATTCTTCTAGATGATTGGCAAGCTTTATAGCTAACCGATTTAAAACGACATAATTCACTGTAATGGCTTTAAAAGGAAAAGTTTATGGCCTAGTTAAAAACTCCAATCAAAGTAATGTAATAATATATATGCACAATTAATTCAACACTAAATGCAACTCGGTAAATTCATGAAAAAATTAAAAACTTTTATTTTGCAATATAATTTATGTTGTGTCTTGGGTCCTTATAAATCATATTCCAGCTAAACGATTCGCCAAAAAATTTAACTAAAACCATAAATTCTGGAAAATAACGATGCATTTCAAAAAAAAACTCGAATGGTTACGTCATTGTGGCAAGTTTCATAATACCATAAAAAGCCAAAAACAGAAACATCATTTCATTTATCTACATGAAGTTGTTATCCTCCTTCTTCTTCAAATTTCATCATTAAATATTAAAAATCTTATCAACATAAAACATTATGCTGTACATCTACCTACACACGATGTTTTATTGAGTTTTTTCATTTTTATTTGTATTACTTA